CATTCGCCACTTCTACTTCATCATAAGTTGGGTCACCCTTCACGTCAAGTTTTCAAGCATCTTGTTTCCAAATTAGGTTTTAGGTTCAAATCAGAGTCTGATGTTCATTGTCCTTCATGTTCTATTAATAAAAGTCACAAATTACCATTTGGTCAAAACTCTTTTGTTGCCACTAAACCACTTCAGCTTATTTATTCAGATGTATGGGGACCTGTCCAAAAATCGATTGACAAATATTCCTACTATGTTCTCTTTGTTGACTACTTTACAAAATACTCCTGGCTCTATCCGATCAGTCATAAAAGTGATGTAGCTACCATTTTCCCACAATTCAAATTACTGGTTGAGAAATTCTTTCAGCACCCCATTATATCTCTCTTCAGTGATAATGGTGGTGAATACCAAGGTCTGTCACCCTATCTCCAAAAACATGGAATCTCCCATTACACAACTCCACCTCATACACCTGAACAAAACGGTATTGTTGAACGCCGTCATCGACACATTGTCGAGACAGGCCTAGCACTCCTCCACCATGCACACCTTCCGCTCACATTCTGGTCTTATGCATTTCAAACAGCCATTTACCTCATAAATCGTCTTCCTACACCCATCCTTTCCAATAAATCTCCATATGAGTGTCTTTTCAACCAACACCCAAATTATCACAAACTTCAACCTTTTGGATGTTTATGATACCCCTGATTACATCCTTACACCACATCTAAACTACAACCTCGATCCGCACCATGTGTATTTCTTGGTTACTCATCCTCCAAATCAGCTTATAAATGTTATGATCCCCACACAAAAAAACTGTATCAATCAAGACATGTGGAGTTTATTCCAACTCAGTTCCCATATCATGCTAAAACTACCCTAGAATCTCTACCGAGCCCATATCAGTTCCTAACCCTACCACCACTACCATCCGACCCGTCTCCTATCCCAAACTCCTACCCTCCTCCCCAAATATATATCCCCATACAGCCCCTTGATCCGATACCTGATACCACTCCACCACAACCTGATCACCCGGAACCGACATCCACACAAACTCCCTCCCCACCACCATCACCTCAAACCGAAGCCTCATCACCTCCGTCACCTGTTATTAATCCCACTCCATCTCCAACACAAACTCCCAACACTAGACATCGCAAAGCAAACTCAAAATATTTCAACCCCTCATTTGTTAACACCACTACCTTACACCCGATTCCCACAGCCATTGAACCCAATACACACACTCAAGCTTTAAAAGATCCAAAATGGCAGGAAGCAATGGATCAAGAGTTTAATGCCCTTATACAAAACGGAACATGGGAACTTGTTCCAAAAACCAATCACACCCCAATTGGCTGTAAATGGATTTTCCGAATCAAACGAAATCCCGATGGCACCATATCTAAATACAAAGCTCGTCTTGTAGCTAAAGGTTTTCTTCAACAATACGGGAAAGACTACTTTGATACCTTCAGCCCGGTCACTAAACCAGTAACTATTCGTGACGTTCTCTCCATAGCACTCTCTCACAACTGGCCTCTCCGTTAATTAGATGTCAATAATGCATTTCTTCATGGCACCCTCCATGAAGATGTCTTCATGTCTCAGCCACCCGGTTTCACTCATCCTGAATTCCCATCCCATATTTGCAAATTAAAAAAATCGTTGTATGGCCTAAAACAGGCTCCAAGAGCATGGTACCTTGAACTCACCTCCTTCCTTCTTTCCACTGGTTACCGAAAATCTAGAGCTGATCCCTCTCTTTTTATCTACCACTCAAATGGTATCCTCAGTTACCTTCTCGTATATGTTGATGATTTTGTACTCACGGGTAACAACAATTCATTCTTAGACTCCTTTGTTTCCTCTCTAGCAAAACGGTTTTCAATCAAGGACCTTGGTCCTCTACATCACTTTCTAGGAGTTGAAGTAATTCCTGTCTCCTCTGGTCTGTTTTTATCCCAACATCGTAATATCCATGATTTACTTGAACAATTTCACATGGATGGTGCTAAAGACGTTACTACTCCGCTGAACTCCTCAGTTTCTCTCACCTTGCATGACGGGTCCACAAGCACAGATCCAACACCATACCGGAAGCTAGTCGGTTCACTTCTGGCATTCACTCGACCCAACATATCATTTGCAGTCAACAAGCTGTCCCAGTTCATGCACGCACCAACTGAGACGCACTGGCAGTCACTAAAACGTGTACTACGGTATCTTAAAGGTACTATTCATCATGGGCTTTATTTGCACAGGAACCAGTCACTCTCCCTCACTGCATTCTCGGATTCTGACTGGGGAGGAATTGAAAATGGGGGTCGCTCAACTACTGCATACTTGCTGTTCCGTGGTCCCAATATCATATCTTGGAGATCAGCAAGACAAAAGTCAGTTTCTCGTTCCTCCACGGAGGCGGAATACAAAGCGCTAGCCAATGCTGCATCGGAAGTTATGTGGGTACAAAATCTTCTCAGTGAACTTGGTATTAAATCCTCATCAGCACCCACTCTTTACTGCGATAACACAGGCGCTACATACTCATGTACAAATCCAGTTTACCACTCTCGGATGAAACATGTTGCACTTGATTATTATTTTGTTCGGGAAAAAGTCCAAGATAGCTCTCTCATTGCCAGACATGTTAACTCATTTGATCAGCTAGCAGATGCTCTTACCAAACCACTTTCACGCGGTCCATTTCAGAGATTACGTTCCAAGATTGGCGTATCCGATGGATCCTCCATCTTGCGGGGGCGTATTAAGGAATAAAGATAATCTACACGTGTTCCACATCAATATTTACATAGTCATAAGTTGTTGTATTTAGTAATAGTCAATACTAGTTTCTCTCCTGTAAATGTTCCTACTTTATCTCTAGATTAGGTTATAACATCCGGCTATATAAGCCACACCAATGTACGCTATTATTATTTAATCAAATACAATCAGAAGCATTGATTCATAGGTTTATAGTCTTAAGTCATAGAAGAATAAGATGAGAGCTATGAAGATTCTCTATAGTCTTATACCGTAGAAGAAAATGAAAGAAATAGGGCAAACTGGCTAACCTTTTACTCTTCAAATTCGACGGTTATATACTTATATTAAATAACTTCAATTACGAACATCTGTCTTTAGTTTCAAGTTTATTGGGTTTCAATTTTCAATCCTGGGTACGTTCTCTTTGATGGTGTAAGAAAACCTCCCATTGATTGTCTATTGTAAAAATAAATCACCTGGATAATGAGCAGTTCGAGAAAGTCGGAACCTTCCTGAAATTTTCCCGATAAGAAGAATCGAGTGTCAATGGGAGAGAGAGAGAGAGAGAGAGAGAGAGAGAGAGAGAGAGAAGAGTTTGTGTTCACTGGATAGAAAAAAGAATATAAAGATTACAAAGTGTTCAAGATTTGAATGCATCAGATGTCTTCTTTAAGAAGAAGCGGTGGGCATGGAGAATAGAGGACAAATGTCCTCTCTATGAAACATGTTGTCTTCAAACCGAAAGGAGACGATGACTAATCTTAGACGGTGACTTCGAACCAGAAGGTATGGTTATAAATAACCAATGTTAATCTGAAGAGGGAACCAATACACTATGATTTATCCTTTTTTTTTTTTGTCTCAATAAATATCTTACTTTCTTATTGGAACCAATCTTATGCAAAACAATGGTAAAAATATAGAAATTACCAAACAAACAGCTTAACGTGAATTAGAGTGAGAAGGAACCTAAATGAACTTATAGGAGAAAATCGAGCGGTTTTGGTTATGGTGTTCTTGAATGAATTCCGTTGAACTTTTCTTTATTCGATGATGAGAGAGGATAGAGATTTAAGGCTCAGATTATGGTGAGTGATGGAAACCTAGGTGAAAGAAATGGAGTAAAAATGTCAATGGAAGGTGGTGCTGCATTTGTGGAGAGAGAAACACAGACGGAGAATGAGAGAGAAGGAATAATACAATGCTTGTTGGCAACGATAACCTGTAGCCGGTGTATAATAGTGGTGGCTCATACTCCCAGTTGGTGGAATCATGAATAAGGCTAACCAACATAAGAAAAATAGTAACACGTACTCCATCTGTGGACCATCCAGGAAAGTCAAATGGAGCACTTACCTACCCCCATCACGACCCGAACCGACAGAAAGGCAACATCTTTATTTAAAATCAAGAAAAAACATATCTAAATTCTACAAAATTCCAAACAAATCCTCTCTTACTCCATAGTCCATATCCATCCATCTCATCCGACTTTGCTCAATTTCTAAGATATATATATATATATATATATATATATATATATATATATATATATATATATATATATGAAAAAAATACGTTTTTATACATATATAAAAAAAAATTGTGTTTTTACGGAAAAACAAAATGTTTTTATCCATATGCGACAAAATATGATTTTACTGAAAAAATATCTTCCTTGGAGTGTTTTCAAAAACAAATTTTTATTATTTATTAAAAAAATCTGAGGGGATGGCAAAAATAAGAAATTTGTTAGCTTAGTTGGAAAGTTTCTTATTGTCTCTGAATGAAATTGTACAGAGTTCGAACCATCGTATGGACTTATTGCCCTTTATTAAAAAATTTTGACTCGTTTCTCTTTCTTCATGTTTTTTTGGCTTACTAGACAGTCATATAACTCTGTTATAGGTTGACCGGTCAAAAGGTGAACCATAGAAAGAAACATAAAATTTGTAGGAATTCAACTAACATGTAGTTTATGAGAAAAACAAAATACAATATTACTTCCATATATTACAAAACAAAACCATAAAAAAACAGTGGAAACATAAAATTTAAAGGAAAACAACGATTATAGTTGTCATCATCCGATAACATGCCACCTGTCTTCGGACGAGAGTGGATTATTTTTCTGTTGTAGAGAAAGAAAACGAAACAAATTATCATAACACAATGTCAGATTAACGACTATCCTTGAGAAATAGCCGTTAAGAACATCACCGTCTCCCTCAGCTGCCCCCACCTCCGAATCCGGACGAGAGTGGATTATTAGCGTCGCGATGGATCTCCGTCTCCCTCAGCTGCCCCCACCTCCTAATTCTTAGCTGAAATTGAATCATAGCCGCTAAGAACATCACCGTCTGATCCGTCGTCAGTATCCCCACCACCTTCGCCACCGTCTTCTCCCTCAAAAAATCCGCCAACCCAACCAAAAATTCCATACCCTTTGCCAAACTATCCACAGCGGCATCCGCATCATCAATCATCCCATTCACTTCCCTTCCTCCCATCCTGGTCAGTGCCAGAATGGTCGGCGCCAACACCTGCTGCTGTAATGTCACCAGCCTCTCCGCAATCGCACTCTCATCATCTTTAGTCTCCACCGTCAACCTCTCTATCCTCTCCACCTGATCGGAAGTCAACTCCAGCCCACATGTTTTCACGATACAGAGGGAAAGACCCGGCTTAAATCCAGCCACCCATAGGAAGGTTCTCTCATAGGGGCTGAACCACGGTGGTGACAGAACAAGAAACACATTCCGGCTAGAAACTCGCGCCTTGGCAAGGAAGTAGTCATGGTAGTGAGCCATGACTCGGAGAATGAGTTGTTTGTGATTGGGCTGGTCTTGTTGATGATCATCTGGGAACTGAAGAAAGTTGAGAAGCTGATTAAGGTAGAGCTCCAGTTGGATCAACCATTCCCGGAAGAAGGTCTGGAATTCTGTTTGAGATCTGGCTGAATTTTCCATGCAGACATGGAAATTATCAAATTAAGGTTTGATTAATTTGAATTAATTGAGAAGATAATCAGCTGGTATGTATATAAGCCCGATCAAGAATTGTTTGATGACTGTTTCTGTGTTTGAAGAAGATGACACGTTTCGAGCTGGTCATGCACTTGCATGCATGTACAGGTAAAACACAACTTCGGTTCGCGTGTATATTTATTAATTGGGTAATTCATGTCGGTGGCAGAGCTAGCGTATGTGCATATTCACGAAATCACCATGCATCATCAATATTGATAATGATGAAATTACAATTAAATTATCTACTATAAAATTACTATATATATATATATATTAAAAATATGAAATTACATAGTATATATTGAGGGGGTTGGGTACTTCTAGACGTGGTAGACTGGTAGTGGCAAATAGCCCGGTGGAAAGGGGGACGATCAAAACGAAGAGAAAGGGACGGTAGGGATGGATCTTGTTGTTGGGATATTATATGTCGATGAGGATGAACGGTGAGTAATTTAAAGGGGCTGGGATGGTTTCAATTTAAAGTGGAATAAAAATTCCACCTCAGCAAATTAAATTGGATGACAAAAGTCAGTTTTTACTTTTTATCGACTGTAATATCGTTTCATAAAATCCGATCTGCTTTTTCTTCATAAATAAGATGATTCGATCATTAAAAAAAAAAAAAATTACACTATATATATGTTCTACTAGTTTTGAAACATTCATAAATAGCATGATTTGATGTGTGAATTTATGTGTTCGTTTTAAAAGGATTTAAAATAAATGTAAATTAAAAAAGGCTACTTATATTACATATTGCGCTGAGCTTCAATCTATAAAGTGCTGCACGAACTTGGGCTCATTGACAAGTCTTTCAGAGGCTCTCAATAACTTTTTGGATCAATCGTAAACCGGTTTCAAAACCCAAACAAATCGGTTTTTTTTTTTTTCCCTTTTTTTTTGCAATCTTAGAATATTCTTAGAAGTTTTGGATTCGAATACTTAAAAAAAAATGATTCATGTTCAATAGTTTTTCTCCATACACAATAATTTATATTTTATATGGCTATACAATATAACATCTTAAAACATAAATTGTTTTATATACAAAAAAACTATCATGTACAAATCAATTTCCGTTCAATATACTATAGGTACATGGATACATACATTAATATAATAAAACTTAAACATTTTTGCTTTCAAATATGACTTTTTGAAGTATTTCTATGGAGACACTACATTAATGATCCATTGGGTAATTGTAATATATCACAAAAATAATTGTCCCCAAATCCAGAAAACGTTTCCATGCATTACGTACTGCCTAACCGAATACACCTACTATAATCTCATAGCTCTAGATCCGTCTCTTTCCCAAAATAACAACATTCAATGAGGGGTACACCAAGAGCGATATGATTTGTTTTTTAGCTTTCCCATAATAGTAAAGATTGCATAGTTTTCTTAGCTTTGAAAATAAGGCATCCAAAATCAATCAATTGATATATACTCAAAGAAAAATAAGAAATCCTTGGAGTCAAATTCTATTAGATAAGTGTGCCTTTGACTTTACTTTTCTCACCCATAACTATACCAATATCTTAGTTGACACCTTAATTAAATTGACTACAAACCTCAAACTTGTCCTTTCCAACCTTAAACTCGTCAATCGTTTTTAAATACACACCAAACATTATATGTCAATATTCCTTCGTAAAAATTTGAAACATTACTGTTTTTTATAATTTTATATGACTGTTTTTTATAATAACTGATCATAAAATGTTCAATATATATCTATATCTTGGATGTTATCAAGTATGCAATACAGCAACATACTTTAAAGAACGATATTTAAACAAGATGTTGCAAAATTTAACAATTACTAATTTATTGTCAACAAACATAACCAACATTATTATTACAATGTAAAATATTAAGGGTAAATTACACCATTGGTCCCTCGTGCACATGCTAGAAAGCATGTTTAGTCCCTATTTTCAAAAATTAACTCGGACAGTCTCTGGTTGTTATTTTTCTTGCACGGTTAGTCTCTATAGACGTTAACCGTTAAATGCTTCCGTTTAAGCTCCCCACATGCCTTGCATGCAGGGCATTTTCGTCTTTTCAAGGTTTGTGTCCCTTCTTAATGTCGTTGCACCTTAAAATCATACAAAACATTGCCTCCCTCTTTTCCTCTGCTATCGTCTCCTTCGTCTCCCCTCTTGTTCGATCGATTTCTTCCAACTTGATAACAATGATCGATATTAAATGCAATTGTGGAGTCACTGCAGTGATTCGCACGTCTTATAGCAAAAGAAACCCTGGGAAACTCTATTATGCTTATACAGTAAAGGTAAGGGTAATGATTTTAATTTCGTTCTTCATCTTCTCTAATTTTGCCCTAATTCTTGATCTTCTTTAATTAGTTCAGGGACCATTATGCAAGTTCATAGGATAGGTGAATGATTATGATCAGGACTGTGATTGTATGTAGTTTAGGATGAAACTTGAAGAACAATATCGCAAATTAAAGTTTTACCTAGTTATTAGTTGGTTTTTTTTTTGTTTCAGTCCTTATGTATAAACTGTAGGTTTTAGTAATGAAGTTCTTAGTCTTTTGTTATGTGTATTTTGTATTGCTATTATGAAAAACCTTCAATTCCAGTTACAATATGTTGTGTTTCAGTCCAAAGTAATGAAGTTCTTAATCATAATGTGGTGTTCTCAGTTGGTGTTCAAATTTAATGAAAATGTGGTATTTCCAACATATGCAATATACCATTCAATACATGTAGCATCCAATATAACAACCAAGTTTTAACATAAGGGACAAAGTTGTAAGGTAAGAGACAAAACTTAAAATATCCAAGATGACCATTTACCATTAACAAAAAAGGACATCCAAAATAGCAACATAGTGTTAAGGCATACAGATAGTTATCCTAGATAGCAACAAAGTATCAAAATACAAAGCATAACAACAAAGTAATAAGCCAATCAATGTCTAACAAAAACATAGTTATCCTTCATGATCCATATATCAAACTACAAATGCTCTTGCCATGTCGTTCAATGAGTTGTCCCGGAATTTGGTGTTGTGGGCAACTATAGCACAAGTTGTTGAACCTCTCCCAATAATCATGAAAAGTCTCATTTTGACCTTGGCGGATTCCACAAATCTCATTTCTAAGACTTGAGACTCTCGAGGCGGGATAGAACTTATCAAGAAATGCTCTTGCCATGTCGTTCCATGAGTTGATTGACCCCGGTGGAAGATAAAATAACCAATCCTTTGCTCTATCGGCCAATGAAAAGGGGAATGCCCTTAATTTGATTTGGTCATCGGTTGACCCTTATGGCTTCATACTAGTGGAAATAATGTGGAACATCTTCAAATGCTTATGAGGGTCTTCATTCTCCAATCCATGAAAAGTTGGGAGGTGATGGACTAGACTTGACTTCAATTCCGAACCTCCTTCCAAAACCGGGTAATTGATACCGGTTGGAGTTTGTGTAACATCGGTTTCCAACATTTGCCTCAAAGTTCTTTTGGGAGATTCTCCTCCGTCCGCCATTGCGATTGGTTCAATAATGGGTGGATTTTGTTGTAGAGGTGGTGTTTCGGGAATTTCTTGACGAGGGTCGGGACTAGAATCGGGTTCCGTGTCACTTGATGAAGCGGTTTCAACCTCCGGATCCCTGTGAGGATTTGAAGTTTGACCACGTTCTATTCTCTTTTCCTTCGCCAACCATCTTGCTTCTTTTTCAATTTCAGGATTATAAATCAAAGCACCTGTACGTTGAGATCTGGGCATAGAGAAACAAATTGATTAAAAATAAACCAATCCTCGGCAACGGTGCCAAAATTTGGTGGTTGTCGAGGCCAACAAAAATAAATAACCCTAAATCCTTTACACTAAAATAGTGTATGGTGGTAAATGGGTCGATCCACGGAGATTGGTTCAATTTATAACTCTATGGAAAATCTCTTTGCAAAAGTACTTGTAAAATGACAATAAAATAAAAATGGGGGTTTTGATCTTTTTGAAATACTTAAATTAAAACTAGAATTAAACTAGAACTTAAATGAACAATTTGGCAAAAATAAGAATTTGATGTGAAATCAATAAGAGAAAGATGGTTGACTTAAGGTTTCCTCACTTTGACTTTTGATGAACATATCATTAGAATCCAATGGTGCAATACTTGATTTAAACCCTTAATTTGGCTATAGTAATCCAAGGAGCTTGAGATTACCTAGACTTTTCTTAGTTGTTGAAATGGTTAGAGAAGCTCATAACAATTTCCTTAGTCAAAGTCACTAATTCCAATAAGCATGTAATTAGTGAAAGTCAACTAGCATTAAGAACCAAAAAGTCACCAAATCCAAGAGGAGTCAAAAGCTTCCACTACCATGTTGGAGAAAATGTTTTTATGATTGTGTGAAGTAAAACTAACACAAGAATCACTTGTTGCTTTCTAATATGAAGATCCTTTACTTAATCAAGAAATTATCCAACTAATCACCACAAACACATTTAAACTCATGAATAAAAACATACAAGCGATGATAAGATGTTAAAACACAAAACATTTTCATAAAGATTCAAACACAAATTCATGGATTCTTCAATATTCAACAAAAGTTCAAAGGATTCAACAAAAGTCAACCAAGATTTGTTTAGCCAAGCATGGCTAAACTCAAGAAAACAAAGTTAGATAAGATTGTACCAAACATTTGACAATAATCAAGAGGAGAAAATGATGAAGTTCTTGAGGGTTCTTGGCCTTCAAAATGCTCCAAAACTCCAGAGAGAATGCCTCCAAATCGGATGTAAAAGATAAGGCTGAAGAGGCACACCAACCTTCCCAATATAGAGCTCCAAATGAAATCCCGAAATTGCCCCTGCAGGAACCCAGGCGGGCCGCGTGGATTCTTACGCGGGCCGCGTGACTATGACGGGGTTTTTGGGCTTCTTCAAGTTTTGGGCCCC